TTATACACTAATACTAATGTCATATATAAGTGTATATAGAACTACTTTAGTCACTTTTTCATAACAAGAAAAATATTTTCCACGCAAAAAATGTCGATGATATATTAGTGAAAAGGTGATGAGTACTAGATGCAAGATGCCGATTGTAAGGAAGAGAGGGTAACGTAAAGTAATTTTAATGTAAAAAGTTTATTTCAAACTAGTAGTTTATTTTTTTAAATATTAATTTTTTTCTTTTGAGTAAATACTAATATGAAACGTACGAACTCGATTCAAAATATTTTTTTGGAAATCTCCTAACATAATAGTATACTTCTTAAATTATTTATTATACATACAATTTTCATAATTTTTGTCATACTTACATTGAATTTCTATCAATTTTTTTTTCTTTTGTGTTTCTATCACTCTATGAGCTGCATGCAGTATACGAAAAAAGTTAATTTAAGCCAGTTCTAATATCTCGATCCCTAATCAATGTTTTGACTTAGTTTTATTTAAAAATATATATCTAATATGGATCATACTTTTCTATTAATTAGCACTATTCCCGGCAATGTAGGTGATTCGTTTTATGATTTAATGAGCGTAAACCAGTTCAAGAACCAAACTTTGTATGGTTTATTTGAGAAGACTGTATATTGTTTTCATTTTGAAAAAAATCTTTTGACTGCTCGGAGTTAATAAGCAATATCAATTGAATTATAATAGTATACTAGTATACTAAGTGGTTTCTCAGCTTTCTTTCTATTGCCGTACATTATTATTAGTTATTATAATTTATAAGTTACGGCACAGATTGGATAAACCACAGCCCGAATAGATAAATTTCATCTATTTTGTGGATAAACATTGTATACTTGCGAAAATAAGTACTTATTAAGACCATACAAGACACATACTTCAGGGGTAATATTTTTGAAGGACAGTGTTGGGAAAGTTCTTTTTAAGAAGGTTAGGTTAGGCTGGGCAATTTTGATTAATTTATTTTTACGAAATACTTTTAAAACACCTAAATAATAATTCATTAAAATTCACTGACATTTAATATTATTTTTATTTAAATATTTATTTACTATGAATTGTGTACAAATTATGTACCTACAAACTACAGAGTGATTGTTTTAAAGGTAAACGTACTCGTTTTCTCAAAAAATCTTAACGTTTATGGAAATATATTTTTTAGATAAAACTTCTACTTACGAGTTTATTTTTCTTTTAATTATGCTAGAGAGTAGAGGGTCAATTATGTTTATTATATACCCAATATATTTTTGCATAAACCTGACATACCTAAATTTGAAGTAAATCGATTATATAAAGATACAGAGATTATGTACCCAATCGAGAGAAAATTTTGCATATATTATTGAATGTATTAAATTACTTTTTTGGTGTAGTTTATTAAAGAATATGATTATGTCTTAGAAATTATTAAGTACTTTTGTTTTCAATATTTTTCATATTCTATTTACCCATTTAATATAAATTGTACTTAGTAAAGGTATAAATTATTTATTCCCAGATTAATTATTAAAACTGGAAAATAAAAAACTAATTTGTCAATCATATAATAAATATTAAAGTTAATGTTTAGTGAACTATATTTGATTAAATATTAATACTGTATACAATCAACTAAGCAATGAGACATGATAAAAATTATACTTCCTTTTTAAACGTACCTAATATTTATACAAATATTATACATATAGGTAAGAAATACTATATTATCTTTTAAATGGTCTAAATTTCAAGTGGACCATTAAAATAAAACCATCTTTTTATCTTTTTTTAACGGATACTAGTAGACTAGTAGCAGTGTAGTATAGATTAGCTGACCCACTAACCCCCCACCTAAATATGTCACTGTGATAGTGTTGCCTGTTAAGAGTTTGAGTGGTACACTTTCACCAATCGCATTTCAGTTAATTATATAATATTAAATGTCACAGTTTTTTATAAACTGTCAAATGTAACATTAAAATACACTTATATGCAAGGTAAATTTAAATTATACAAGGTGATTCCATATTTTAAATCAGAATATTAATAACCTATATACCACTATATTTTTGTACTTAAAAAAAAAAAAAATAATAATTTTACAGTTTGAAACGTCGGTACTTCTGAGTTTGGGTTATTATGCTATAATTTATATTTTTGACTCGTATTTTAGATGCTGAGCGGAACAACGAATGTGTTATGAGAAAGTGAATCTAATTGGTTCAGGAAGTTAAAATTCCCAGTAGTTTTCAAAATCCCTGAGAAAAAAATATTGAGGAAAACGGGAGTTTAAATTAGTTTTTGACAATTTCTGGTATAAGTATACAACTCTAAAAAAAAAAATACGTTAGATACATGAAATATTCACTGAATTTTTATATTATAATATTCTATAAACGATATAACTTTCAGAATATTTTGAGTCATATTCAGCTATTTGTAGGCATATGAAATTTATAATTTTTACTAGTTTTTTTTAAAAATGAATGTCAATAAAAAATTGTTGTTTGGTTAAAAAACTAGTAAACGTAATACAAGGTTGCTCATAAGTTGTTCTTATTGGAAATTAAGAAAACATTTTATTGTAAATACACGATATTTTTGTATGAGCGACTAACTAAAATAAAATTTTGACAAAAGTCGCTAAAATCAAGAACATTTGTAAATTATTTTGAGTGAAAAATTCATAAAAATTTTCCTTTTTATATCTAAGATTTGAAAATACAATACAAGATTCCTCGTAAGTTTGACTATCTTTAACAAAAAAAGTCTTCTGAAATATCAAATAACATTTTTATGTGAGTTTGAAGTTCAAATTCTTGCAACATTTGATATTTACTCGATTTCTCATGGAAGGATTTTCTAATTTTGTTGCAATTTAAAAACGAATATCCGCATATACTTGAAATTTACACCAAACATTTATTTTATCATTTTCTATACTTGATAAAGTGTTCACACATTGAACACGTTTTGAGTTGCTTACACTTTTATGGACATAAAAAATTTGCTATTTGTTTAGTTTTTTTTCTGAATAAATGTCAATAAACTTTTATTCATTGGTTCAAACAGCTTGAAACTTATAAAATATATTATTATAAATTATAACGTATACACACAATGACATTTTAAAATGATATTTTTTCGGCAAAAGATTATTTAACCTACGGTAGTGCTAATACCTAAAAACTAAAATCAATTACTTCGATCAGATAATAATATCATAAGATATACTTAGTAAAATTAAAGGATGACAGACCGTTTTTCGTATTTTATGATTTTATATCATTGAATTCGAATCATACAATCCATTATACAGTGACTTCTCCTACTCGTATTTTTAATTTTGTATTTGAAGCAAAATATTTTCATGGACAATATTTCCGATATACTTTCCTATGAATAATGAATATTTTGTGAATCGTATATTATAACTTATAACTTGTTATAACCATTTAATTAGTCATGGCTAGGAACATCTTATCTTAATAAATAAAATAAAAATAAAAAATAACCGTTTAATATTTCGATGAGCCAAATATTGCGATATCATTTTGTGATACATTCCCCACTCTCTTTTCCTATAATATATTATTATTCATTATACATATTGGTATGCACTAATTACTATGAACAATTGTGGAATGACGAGGTTTGGATTAAAGAGAGCATATGGGGCAAGTTTTTTAAAAGCCCGTAAAACTGTAGAGTATAATGAAGGGGTGGGGTTTAGGGTTCAAACCCACCTTAAATGATAAAATTTGATGGTAAAAAAACATATTATGCTGGCTTCAACCCCGAGTATAATATATCTATGCATGTTTATTGACTTATTGTATATAAATTATCATTTATATATTTTTTAAAGTTGGGAAAAATACTAGGACGCCAGATATCTGAATCCATAAGGGGCTGAGGGCTACATTAACATTTAGAGGTTTTAACGACTAGAACTATTGGTATTTGTCAAAATAAATAAATATGAGATGACTGATAGATACATGTTTGCCATGCCATCTCTTAAAATAGTCCTTAAAAAAAAAATGGTTTTACATTATAAATTATATGACATATTAAGTCTAGTTGGTCTAGTTTATTCATTACACACAGATAATTTTTACAAATTACTAGATTATAAACTGTAGTTAATATATTAATATTAATTACTATAAATTAAAAATCATCATAGCGCCTCGAGGGAATGTTCTTACATTCAAACCTATAATATTGTCATCAACTATTATAATTTAAACATTAACTTTAATAGTTCAGAAACTACTCGTAAGAATTTCGATTTCTTAAGGTAGATAAATAACATTTAAAAAAAAATCGTATGTTTAACAATTTACCATTTAAAATAGTGTATATTATACAGAATTTTGGATCACTACAGGACACTCCTTAAAATTCAGCGGTTTCCTAAGTGTGCGTCGTTATGTCTTTTCAAGGTGGCCGTTGCCGTAGAATTTTATAATATGGTACAAAAATAAATTTTAAAACCCGACGACGATGGAAACGATTATGATTATGTAAATAAAAATGTATAAATTATGTATAATTTAAATGAAATACATATTTTCATATTGCCCACTACAATTTCTTTTTTTTTTTATTTTTTTTTCCTATTTATTATCCTATGACTTGGGAAGGGTGCCCCCCCCCCTTGGAAGACCTTAGTTCAAAACAGGCGTAGCGAGCTAAACAAGTTTGAAGAAGAACTGGTGCCTTAAATTATATAAAATATGATTTTTAAGTAGTCATGGATTTTTAAAAAAAATTCATTATTAAAGAAAATAAAGAAATGACCATGCCCAGTGAATCACATTGTTGGTAGGTATATAATAGTACATCACCACATACCTTAAAATATTATTATTGAAATTATTATGATTTATAAAATATATATATATTAATTTATTGATAGATTAACTAATATTTAGATGTGTTATACTTCATCAATTACCTACATTTATTAATACAATACTCTCGCTTACCTACATATTGTGAACATTATACTCGAATGGTTGAAGTTTCTGTTTCGATGCACAGTGAAGCGTTGCCGTAACATTAAATAAAAATAAAAATCGATATATTGTGTACGTAAATTGCAGGTAGCAAAAGGTAAAAGTATAGATTCTTATAGGCTACAACCTATAGTAAAGTTGTGGACGAGTTTACGTGTGTGAATGTTCAAATAATTTCAAGTCACCGGAGTGAACGGCGTCGTAGTCGCCGCCGTAACACTCGTTCACCACTTATCGTTCCGTTGTAATAGTGACGTTTCGATAACATAATAATAATAATATTCCAAATCAAATTCAAAAGCTCGTTGAAACGACGTCACCGACTACAGAGAACGTCAACTGTCGCCACTCGCCGTCCGCTGCGTTGGAAAAATGTTGGTGTGACGTGACCAGTGACATGTCGCTGGTCATCGTCAATCGTCCCGCCAAAAGTGGTCAGCGGACAGCGCCACAGTGGAGCACGACTGTGTCGTCCGTACACCATTGTGGGCCTTCCAGTCTTGGTTGGTAGGTGATACCTGCGTCTGAAGTCGAACAGACGGGCCGACGACGACCTAACGGTTGGCTGCACTGCAGAGCCGCCGCGATCGAGAGACGTACGTGCGCCCCACGGGATCAAGCGTATACACGGCGAACAACTACTTTAACCGTGAGGCACGTGGTGGGGGTTGCGGTGTTGATCGCGCGGTGCGTGGAAGGGATGGTAGGAGGAGGAGTGGAGGAACGAACGTTTTTGTTGTTGCGAGTGTTGCGACCGTTTCGCGCGACGTCATTTATACGTTGATTGTGTGACTATAGATGTTATTTTTTGCCCGTTTTCTCGAAAAACGAATTGAACTGCGAAAGACGACGTCCGCCCGACAGACGAACTGAACACGAAACGCGAGCCGCCCGTGGACATTCCGCCGTTGGATTTGGTAAGTTGTATTTTCGTGTACGTACGTACCGACCGTACGAGTGGCGCCGGCGAGAAACCTCGTTGTTCGCCGAACACCTGACCGCCGCCATTTTGTCGCGGTGGTGGTGTGATGTTATTGTTATTGTTGTGGTCGTCGTACTCTGATAAACTTATAGGCTCGCGGCGGCAGAGGAATACGCGTCGACGTTAGGCCGGCAGCCAGCCGAGCCCGTGACGCGCCTAATCGTCGTGGCATGTCCGATTTTGTGCCAAACATGGCGTGCCACTTCCTGGTAATGACCCTAAACGCCGTGTTTGATACTCGACATTGGTCGCGTTCTACTAGTAGCTGCCTTTAGGAGGGTTTACATCTCTTTCGTCTTTTTGAATTGGTCTTGTCGACTCATTTGACCGTCCGATGGGTTTTTCCGTTACACCTTAACACCCAAATACCTGTTCGCCGAATTGCAGTCTTTTAAATTATATTCGCTGTCAGCTGATGAACTGTTTCAAATAATCACTGCAACACCCCATACCCCGATATCTCGTTCACTTAATATTCGTCAAGTAGGTAATCGCCGACTGTTCAAGTGTGTATTTAGGTAAATTGTAATTACGGTTATCAAGAAAACAAATCGGATCTCTTAAGTACGTCGGTCGCGTGTATACTCTGTTCTAACTTTTTCTTCTGTAATCTATTTATAGTAATAGTCAACTCCCGAATGTCGATAAACTCGCACATTGTATTATGACGCGGCATAATTTATCAAATATTGCTTTGAATTTGGTTTATCCGGCTGTTAAATTAATTGTGTGTTTATGAAAATCACATGGTGGGTTTGGTCGACTTTTGTTCTCTTTTTTTACAAAAAAATATGACAAATAATTAAATAGATAGTAGGGTTTTTATTTGTAGATTGAGAATTTTCACCTAGTCATTTGATTCATATCATGAATTATGTTCATGCACTCTATTAAACCTATTTAAATCTACATTACATTTCACTGGAACTAATAAACAGCACTAAAAATGATGACATTTTCTAATCGGTTTTATATATTAATATAATTTTATAAATAGTTAAAAAAACTGTTCTTAAATATATTTTTTATGAAAGTTTTTAAAATATAACAGTGCTTTCTGTGTTCTATAATATATATTTTTTTTTATCATTAAATTGCCTAAATTGGGTATTACCGATTTTTATTGATTTTGTTTAAACTAGAAGTTTCTTTTAAAATGTATATATTTATAGGTACAAATGTTCAAATTCACAACTGTAATTATATCTTCATAATTTGAATATACATTTAATAAATCAATCATTTTTGGTATTCATTTTGAAAATATAAATGTGCCTATAATAAACAATGTTATTATAGAATATGATAATACAATTTAAAGCCATCTAATTTTTTCAGTATCAATAGATATTAGTGGTAAAACCCATTGATATATTAGATTATAGGTATTAAAATGTCTTGATAAATATTTAATTGACCATTTAAAAGTTAAAATTAGGAATTAGATTATTTATTTTGTTTTTCTATTTATATAGAAAAACATAATAGTACACATGTTTTTATTGTTAATTGTTTTAATTTTTCAGGTTTATTAAAAGTTTTTTTCATTGGAATCAGCTTTTTGTTACTCTTCGTTGATAGAGTGATATCAACCCAAGAAAAAAGACATTATTTTCATAAGTGAAATATAATAAAGTTTTCTATAATTTAACTTACATTTTTATAAAGACAAAAGTGAATACTTCATAGTATTTTTATTAAATGTTGGTTATTTTTTTTATTTGTTGTACATAATAAAGTCTAAGTAGACACGTTTTAGTGTTAAAAAGTGATTGTTTTATCGTAAATTAAACAATTTTTTTTTGTGTACACACGTTGGTTCTTTAGAACCTCAAAAAAATTTAGATGCTTGCTACAAATCACAATAACTCTGGGATCAACCTCAGTATGCCCAGCAAACAGTTAAACAGAATGTAAGTTACTGACAATAGTTATAATACCTATTAATGCTTTAATACTATAAAACTGTTTATGTTTCCAGTAGCTTTGAAGGAATAGATGATGCCGGTTGGAAGGCCAAGCTTAAACTTCCGCCTCAAGATCACCGGATTAAAACAAGTGTGCGTAACATATTCAATGAATACATTGAAATACATAAAATATTTATTTTTAAAATATGTTTATAGGATGTTACTTCAACTAAAGGAAATGATTTTGAAGAATTCTGTTTAAAACGAGAATTATTAATGGGTATATTTGAAAAAGGTTGGGAAAAACCTAGTCCTATTCAAGAAGCAAGTATTCCTATAGCACTTTCTGGCAAAGATATATTGGCAAGAGCAAAAAATGGCACAGGAAAAACTGGAGCTTATTCTATACCTGTACTTGAACAAGTGGACCCAAAACTAGATGTTATACAAGGTAAAAACTGATCTCTTGCTTGATTTTTAGTTATTAACTTAACTCAACTTTTATTAAATTATTGTATGAATGTTTTATTTTTCAGCACTTGTGATTGTGCCAACCAGAGAATTAGCATTACAAACTAGTCAAATATGTATTGAGCTTGCAAAGCACTTGGACATTAGGGTCATGGTGACTACTGGTGGTACTAATCTTAAGGATGATATTCTTCGTATTTACCAAAGAGGTAAGATTTACAAGTAATTTTGCAATACCTATTTTTTTTAAGGCAGGCTCTAAGCAAGGGGTTGCATTAGTCATCATTGAACATCGTTAATGATATATTTTAATTTTTCAAACAAGGAATTTTTGATGTATAATCGATGTTGCATTTTTAGGTTAATATAAACATTTATTTTTATTTTGCTCTATGATGAAAGTTTTTGGATTCCCCTTCACTTAAAATATTTATATGAGTGAGATTTAATAACTGAGAGCTTAATACCAAATGCTTTTTTTTAATTAGGTATTTCTATTTATACCCATGTACTAAGCAATAATTTATAATTTGTTGGTGTTGAAATATCTGCCACTCCGATAAATTTGAGACAAATATAATTTTTTTCCAGCTTGTAATTAAATAATTAAATTTTAATTCATAGTTATCTAAAAAGTTCTAATTACTTGTTTGAATATAATGTATATTCTGCTCCATGATGATATATTTTGGATTCCCCTTCACTTCAGACATATGAGTGAGATATAATGTTTGAGAGCTTTGAGTACAGATAATGTTCTTTTCTGAATTATATACTTATAGCCATGTATTATTAATAAGTTTTTAAGTGACACAATGTCTGCCACTACAAAAAAATTCTAAAAGAACTACAATTTTTTCCAGCTTCTTGGAAATATATTATAATAAAATATTAATTCACTTTTCTAAATAGTTATATTTGCTTTTTATTAAATGTATATGTTCTTTTTTTTTTATTAATTATAAAGTGTTCCTGTATGTGATAACATATTTTAACAGTTGATAATGCATAATTATTTACGACATTATAAGAAATTATTATATATTCTACTCTGTGATGATAGATTTTGGATTCCCCTTCATTTAAAACTATGAGTGAGATTTAGTGTTTGAGAGTTTAAATTCCAGATTGAAATACATATACTGTGTATTCGTAATTAATTAATTAAATTAATCTGCTCTATGATGATATACTTGGATTCCCCTTCACTTTAATTTTATGAGTGAGAAATTATTTTTGAGAGCAATTTGCTTAGGTGCTGTAGATTTTTTTTAGCAAAGTTAGATAAGTAGTATGGTTTATTATTCTAATAGTACTAGCTATTAAACCAAAAGTTGCATTTACTTGATTCTCATATTTCACATAAAAGACGAGTTTTGGTTATCCATAGTGTTCTTCTCACGTGGCATGTAATACAGCTTCATACCTATCTCAAAATTCTTGTCTTAATTTTTTTTTAAGAAGAGCTCAGTAATTATCTTTTAATCACAACAGTATTAACTTATATGTTCAAAATTTTAAAACAATTTTTTGATTAATTACCTGCAAGTTTAATATAATGTTTTAAACTCAGTGAATTGGGCTCCAAATACTAATTTTTTGATATGCTATTGCCTACCGATTGCATTCAAGTTAATAATATATACCCCACAATCTTTTGTTAGTGAGCAATTAATTTCGTTCTTTAAAATGCAATTAATTATATTCTTGAATTTTTATAGTATTAAATTGTTGATAATATGCATCATTAATATGGTATATTATAATATTTTATTTATAGTGCATGTTATTATTGCCACTCCTGGAAGGATATTGGATCTCTTAGACAAAAGCATAGCTAAAGTCGATCATTGTCGGATTTTAGTCTTAGATGAGGTAAATACATTTTCTTATTAA